TCCATAATGGCAAAAAAAAAACCCCACCCAACAGATATTACTGAGTTTTTGCTTTCACAGAAACTTGTCTTCCAAAAAGGCTACTGCCAAAATTTCTAGAGTTGGCATGCATGCAGCACCTCTGGAACATATATAATGTATCAGCTTACCTGTTGTGGTTTATGTTGCTGCACTGTGTTATATATGTAGCTTAGACCAGCTCTAGTTAACACATAGGAAGCTTGTTCATTTATGAGTGTATCTAAATGAGCTTCAATCTGAAAATGTAAGCATAAGACATTTATAAAATTTGCATATAAAAGTGTTAAACAGAAAAATTTACAGAGTAAAAGATAAGGTGTAACTATCATTTTAGAAAGCAAAAAAACATGAAAAGGAAAATGATTACCCAAGGATATACCACAAATACATACAGCACAATTATTTTTATCATTAATATATTTCAAATTATGGAAAACAAAAACAAAAAAATTAACACTTATGATACCTAATAAGACTCTAAAATTTGCACTTTTAAAATCAACAATCCTAAAAAATAAAAATAACAAAGTTCTAATCTTAGAAATTGACGTATCATTTTTGGTAGTATTTTGTTCACTGATATATTGCTATTTTGTTCATTTATTCATTGAAAATATGCGATAAAAAATATCAACCAAATCTTATTGAAAATATTGGAAGCAGTACAGCAGTTTTGCCACAAACAACCAGTCTTTCTTGAGGAAACTAAAATTCAAATGAAACCATAATCTTTAAATTCAATGATAGCCATGTGTTAAAAAAAAAGCCCTCCTCAATTTAAAGAACCTGGCCAAAACAGAAAATGAAACTACAGCTATGAATTATGCTTCTCTTGCTATAAATGTCTTTCATAACAGAAAATCTCTAATCATATTCATAAATATATTTTACATTCTTAGCATAACCTCTACTTTGCAAAGAAATCACTAAATCTAGTCACAGCTGCAGCAATCCTATTTGAGTATTCTCAAAAAGATTTGGGAATATATACCTTATTACTTCATTTTTATAACTATTCCACATTTTCTTAATTTCTCTGTCTCAAGCAAGAGGAAAAAAAATGTAATTTATCAAACTGTAACGAGTTATACACCTGATATTTTAAGAGTTCACATTCCTATCTCCTGAAATTCTTTAGAAAAAATACACCTTCTTCCTTTTTAATTTAAAACGTCAAGTTTCCTTTCTATGAAGAATGTCATTCTTATTAAATACACTATTCTAACTCCATTTTAATAACCTACTTATGTGCAATCTTAAGATTTTTTTTCAATTTATCCCTGTATTTGCATAATGGCTGCCGAAAGCAAATGGTGTTAAAAAGTACAGTCTTCAGTTCTACTGCTTATTTGAAGAATAAATAAATTGAAGCATTTACTACAGAGGGAAAAAAAAAAAAAGGGTACAGTACTGGACATTTGAGACCCCCTAGAGACAATTGGTGGGGGAATCTTTTTTGTGTCAGAGCTAAAAGGTGCAAGAAATTCTAACTAGGAGTAGATGGTATCACCTTTGAGTAAGAAGCTGTGACCTTCTCTTCCAAGTCCCCCAACTTCAAAAGCTCCCCTGAGTAGTATTACAGAAATGTTCTATGTAACAAACCTACAAATGGGCAGGGCCTAAGTATTCCTAAGTCAATGGTTTATAAACTGCATTTCACTTTCAAAATAGTAGCACATCTGAACTATTATCCTGGGATGTTAAGTGAAACCAATAAACAGATGAGGTAATGGAAGAAAAGAGAGATGAAGCGCTAAGTTAATTTATGCTGTATTCTAGTATTAATATCCTCTTATAATGGAATAATCATTTTACTTAATTTCCAACTTCCATTTGCTTCATCTCCTACAGTTTGTGGAGGAATATTAAGATGATTTGGATAATAGAAATTTTCAACTGATTTGTGTTTATCTGCAATTAAAAACAAACAAACAAAATCTTCTTATTAGTTTTCTTTAACTGTTTAAAGACATAGAAGTATAAAACATGCTGTGCCCAAACAGCTCTGATAACAGAGATTGCAACCGACACCAGATAAGGACACCTCTTATCCTAACGGTTTCTTCATTTTGAGGCAAAACATTTTAAGCGTGCTCACTTCACAGCCAATATCTGAAAAATCCAGGAAAAAGTTCATTTTCGATCTGGTCTGTTAATGCTTACCTGAAACTGTAACATTTCTAGACGTTTGTCAGTGAACTCAAAGAGAGCCAAAGTTGTCTTCATCATATAAAGTGAATTTACCATGAAGGTTGCCATATCCGCCGTGCCTAAATTACTAGCGGACATAGTACACATCTGTAATAACGGATCTAGCACACAGGATAGAACCTAAAATAGAAAAACACACAGAAAAGGGGAAAGGAAATGGGACTTAGGAAAAACGCCATACTAGGCTTCTAAGCTCATTCAGTCTCTATCACGTATTTATTCCTGAAAGCAGAATAAAGAGAAATAAGAATTTTCAACTGTGAAGGCAGTTTTCTACTGGATTTGTCAGCAGGTCATCAGCTACCATAGTAATGGATAAAGTGTAAAAATCTGAAAAGAACAGATTCCAACCTAGCAGAAGGAAGAGTAACTCACATTAGGTTAACTGGCAATTGTGCAGTCTTAAGGGGATATTTATTTAATGCAGCAGTAATTGGGTAATAGAATTTAGATACTGTGCTAGACTGGCACTGTACTGTAATTATCTGCTTTGGTAGTCTATTACTTTTAAAACAGAGGTTTGGGAAAATACTCCAAAATGGCATCAGACAAATAAATATTCATGTTTCACTCATCTTTTGTGTACTAAGATTAACAACAAAAAAAAAAGAAATAAAGAAAAAAGCTGTCAGACATTGTTATACCTGCACAAAGTCAGCTTGACGGGCATCCAAAGGAACAACAGATGAGTCGTGAGATGCCAGAACCTCCCGCAGCAAGTTTAGTGTTTGGTTTAGCGCAGAGCTTGGGCCAAGATCTGGAGGTGGGAGTTCAACCTAAGGAACAAGGAGATGATTTTATTACTTCTTTATTCCATTTAGAGCAAACAACATGTACTCTGGTAACACACATACTAGCAGCTAATAGCGGTCACGCATTTTAGAGAAGGACTTCAGCTTCTGACACTGGAGATCTGAGCCCACTTTGAGCAGGACTTCCCTTAAACCCCCCAGTGTGTAACTGGAACTCTGGTTTAACTCGACAGTCTCAATTGGTAGCAAGTCTGTATCTTCAATTACTGGTACACAGGCTATCTGAAGTACACCTATACAGGCTGTGATGATACTGCAAGAACTGGAATGAAGGCCTATCTCAAAAATGAGAAATATGAATCACAGATACTAAAAAAGGTTTGCGAAGTTCATAGGAAAAAAGAACATGACTTTCTGAGTCAGGCTGCAAAGTACCTGAACTGACTAAATGCCTGTTCTATTTTTAACAGAGTTACATATTTTAGACTTTCTTTGTAACAGACAAATAATCACTGTATGATTTGTAAAATCTTTATATAATATGTAGCCTAGCATATTTTTTCCCCAAAAACACTTCACTTCAAATGTAGCTGTGGTTTCTCCTTCTCAACATAGCCCATAACTGTCTTCCAGCTGCCAACAGTCCCCTACCAGAATCGAGCCACCTGGCCTCAGTTCCTTCCTTCCCCTCTTTCCTCTGTCTCCTGCCTGTCCCAGGTCAGTTATAGACCTGGCTGGATCACGCAGGAGCAGGGACACCCTGAGGAACACAGGGAATGTGAGCACCTCAAGGGAAAATCTCTCTCCAGGAGGAGGAGGCAGAGTTGAGACTGCCCTGCCTCGGGCCTAGCCTGTCTCACTCGAGCTACCTGGGTGCAGTGAAGTGAGGCACTGCGCACTTCTGCAGACCTCTTCTGGCTCCAGCTCAGTTCAGAAAGAAGGCAGCCCTGGATGGACCCCCAAGTCAAGGTAGCATGTTCCCCACCTTCCAGAATCACAACTACTCATTAACAGAATAATAAATGAAATAAGTTTCCCAGGGAAGGTGAGGGAATGAGGGAAACAGAGTAAAGAGGTAGAGCCTGATGGTCAAAGAATATGCAGAATGACAGACATCAATCACTTCAGAGCAGCCTTCCAGAGGCTGGAAATGCATCTGTACCTGAAGAACGTGCCACTAGAGAAAAAAGATACTGAACTCTCCTTTGAGCCTGATCTAGCTTCCACAGTTTGCACATTCGGAAAACAGCCAAGATGCTGCGAATGTTCAAATACTGTCACCAGATGAAAAAAGTAGTTTAATGCTTTCTTCTGGATACCAAGTTTGCTACCATGCTCACTTCTAAGAGCTATCACACTGAATTCGGGGAACTAATGGAAAATTCAATCCAGTAAGGAGAGAGAACAGTTGGTGTTCAGCCTAATTAGTTTTTGAAGTTTAAACAGAATATTCTCCTTGTAATGAAGAAACAGTAATTCAGAAAAGTCACTTATTCGGTGCTGATTAGTACCGAAGTTTACTGAAATTTACAGCAGCGAGTGACTTCTTGTTTATTTATTTATTTATTTTTATTAGGGGTATTGATTGTGCCCTGAACACACTGTTCTCAGACCTGAACTGGACCGTGTTCAGGGATATTTTGGCATTAATTTGAGACTAGAGTCTGATGGGGTTTTTGCTTCCAACACACACATAGATCACGGCAAAGGTAATTTCAGACTTCTTCGCACAGAACTTTTGTCCTCTCAAATAAATGACGGTTAGAAGCTTCTAAATTAGCTTCATTTCTTATTTCCTCTGTTCTCTTAAAATTTACTGTTGTCTAGATGGGGACAACATTATGGAAAAAGAAAACACTGGAAGGAAAAAAAAAGCTTCAGACCATTGGATTTCACTTGAGGCTAGCTAGAAATTCCTGACTACGTCAGTAAAGGTAAGCAGGAGCAAAATTACTATTAGTAGCCGAAGCAAAGTTAAAACAATGCTAAACCCAAATCTGAACATTCCCTTCTGAGCATCCATGTAGGTAGAAATGTTATTTTAGAAAAAAAAAAGATCAAAAATTTAAAACACAGATTTATCTCAATTTATAGAGGAATCCATGAGAACTAAGTTATTCCAAATAAAAATGAAAAAAAATCCCTATGTTACACGCACTAAAATATTATAACCAATGCTATTTCCAAATAGCATCGGTTATAATAGTTCAATATTTCCAAATAGCATCAGTTCAAAAGATTTGAAATGCGTGCTGAATTCTGCTTTTGATGCAAGCCAGATAGAAGCTAACTGAAAGATTCTTACTAAAAGATTCTCAGAAAAGTTCTGTAATGATTCAATACTGTTGAAATATACTCTAAGTGTCTAATCATAGACACTGCTAAGTCATAACCTACGTTTTTCAGTTGTGTGAAACCAAGGTCAATCAGATGCGTCCCCAAAGCCCCCAAATCTTTATTTTTAAAATCAAATATGCAAAACAAATTCTCCTAAAATAAAAATGTTTTAAAAGAAGAAATTACATCATCATTTAAGCGCTCAAGCTCTAAACTGCAAAGTTTTGCATATCAGTGCAAAGTTAAAGTCCAAAGAAGGTTTGTTAGTCTATGAGAGAAAGTAGCTCAAATGACATTTTTGAGAATTTAATGAACAGCAAAAGTATGGACAAAACGGGAAAAAAAAAAAAAACACAAAAAATGGCAGTATCAACTATCAAGAAGAGAGTCTATGTTACTTAATAGCCTCTCTCTTGCATTTATGAGGAGGGCTACACAGAAAAAAGAAACCATACAGAACTTTGGTTTCTATCAAATACAGTAAGTTCTAGTAAGGACTGGAATGGAGCAGAGATTATAAATTTATAAAGTTATATAAAACAAAAGACATTTTAAAACATCATTCCTCTTAAAAGTACTGCGCAAAGCAACAAAAAAAGAGGCTGGCAGCCTTTTGAAGGCCCTAATCAACTTTTAATGAAGTTTTTTTTTTAATAAGTTCATTGGTAAGGAGGTGAGAAAAAAAAAAGCACTAAAGAGGTGGGATCTTGGGAAAAAACTATCTGGATATTTCATCCTAGTGGTTACAACTACTATGTGCCTATCACAAAGTCCACTCCATAAATTGAGATCACTTCTGCCACAGTAAGACCGCAGCAGCATAGGAAACCTGAGCGCAGATCTACCAGGGAAGCTTGAGAGAAGCTGCATAAGCTCCTTGAGCCCCATTAGGATCCCAGAGATCAGCATTATTCAACAGTAGAATGCCTAATAACATACTTTTCAGCTACTTTTACACTGGATGTGTAAAAAAGAAGGAAACAGAAAAAAATCTCTTTGTTTTGCTTTATCCACATGGATCCTCTCAAACCATAACACTAATCTGTATCACTATGCTGATCCAATAGCTGGTTTCCCCAAGACCTAGAGGGTGCATTTTGACAGTAGCCAAATTATCAGGGAGTTTACAATTCTTCCCATTTAATGCCTCATTTTTCCCACTCAAATACTATACACACAATGTGATCATAAAATTTAGTTTATATGCGTCTGTTCTAAGAGCACGGTATTAAAAAACAACAATCCCAAAGCCTGATTTGGGGCACTCTACAAATGACCTTCTAACAGCTTAGAGAGCCTCATGATCTCTTCTATTCCATTTACTTCAAAGTTTTAAATTATTCTTTCACTTAGTAATTTTTCTAGAATATACTGAAACATGCAGAACAGTAGGTCTGCCTGAAAACTACCATTTTAGTGTATTAGTTGCTCCAGTGAAGACACTGGCATAGGTCAGTCTAGGAGTCATTAAAATGCCTCCTCAAAGGACTCATGATTTTGCATGTCAATTTGTTCAAGCTGAGGGAACCGTGAGAGGAGCTCACCCACTCCTCCACATTAGGTACTTTCAATTTTGCTTCCAGCTTCCACAGAACAGTACCCATTTTTTATGTATTATTTTCATTTAGCACTTTTTTGGATTTATCATCTGCACAACAGTGATCTGTACCAGGACACTCTTATTTATGTCCACAGAGTAAATTTTGATGCTATTCCTAGGATTACACTCTCCTGTGCCCTTTCATATGTGTTGTACCCTCAATACAAACAATTCAGGGATCCACCTAAGGAACACAGAAGAATCTCCAAACCCTAAATATTTGATTTATTAGCACACAGTCAAAGGAAACATATAGGAAGACACTTAAGGACTGAATTCTAGAGTGCTTTACTAGCATGGTTGTTCTGGGTCCAAGAAAGCACGAAACACACACGTACAAACAAGATCCTTCAGAAAGGGCACAAACATAGGCCAAACTATCTGGTTAAGCAACAAAGGTTTCCTGTGCAAAAATGAATCAGTTAAACAAATTATTACCAGATCTAGAAATCCAGTAATCCAGCACACTGAAAGGACTGTCAAACACTTCCTCTGAAGCGTAAGAGCCCGTCCAACAACGTAGAGGAGAGACAGGCTGTAGTAAAAACTGATGTGAGGACTGTTCAGCATTGCAGGACAAGTGCCTCGATGCACAGCTTCTATGGGATGTCAGAGCTGGCCTCTGTGAGCACCTCGGAATCTCCAAGCAGCAAATGGCCTTTTAATCCTGGAAAAGTTGCTTTGCCACAAAGCCACAAAGCTTCACCACAGGTTTCAATGACTATAGGAGAGAAAGACACTACTTTGAGCGCCGCCTTTCTTTTAATAAGAATAAATTTATTCTTAGGCAGCACACAGAATATACACATTACAGAGATATCAGATCCTGAGGAAGGACTTTGAGAAGTGAGAGTGAAAACAGAAAGGCTGGAGAATGTGAAGTTCTGAGGCCTGATGAGCACCATGTTTCAGATGACAGCTGGAATACTAGAGGTTTCCAGATATAATTAAAAAGTCGTTTGTAGAAAAGGGCTTCTGAGCAAGCCAATAAGTAATCTAAAGTAATTAAAGATTTCCCTGCATGATTTACTGATGACTTGACTGCAAAAGGATGAGACTGCAGGCCTAAAGAAGTCTAAGTTTTCATACAGCTCTGTGCTTGTGACAGTCCTTACCTAATAAAAGATGTGACACCTCAAAATAGATGTGAACATGAAGTTCCTTCTTGTCTATGAAAGAACAAACGGAAGTCTCAGTTTCACATCAGGATTTTTCTCTTGGGAAAAATCCCAGGAAGCTTGAAGGCAATGCTCAACACAGGACAACAAATAATCTACAGAATTAAACTGTGGTTATGGGGAGATCAAACTCGAATCTTTATCCTGCTGTTCTTCTAAATCCAAAATGAGTGTTCCTGAGGAGTTAGCATATTTAGTCTTGCCTAAAACATTCCTAGCTTTCTCTACTCAGGAGCAAACTTTGCCTAAATGCAGTTATGACTTATCAATTATTAGATGGAGTGCATATATTTAAAAAAAAAAAAAAGTATACTGTAGCAAGACACAAGGACACACCACAGCTACAACAGATTAGAATAGGAAAACAAATGCCAAGTTAAAATTCATTGGCAATGCTGATTAAATCTTCTGGAATTTGGTAGAAATGAACAGTAATTAAGAAATCATTCAAAATTGTCTTTAAATCAGATAACATTTTTGAACTGTTTTCCATTCAGAATTTCTTGCTTATAATTACTAGATTACCAGTAACAACTGATGATATGGAGGGAACACAATCAGAGTGTATAACTCTCACAGGCTACATTCACCTCTTCTAAACATCTAAACAACGAGGGTATGTAGATTACAGAAATAAAAAATCCCCACTTGAATTGCTAATCTATTTCCCTAATAAATTGCTTTATTATATTTTAAGCTAAGTAATATATAGCTCACATTTTTAAGACAGGTTTAGAAATCCTTTAACAAGCAATATATAAGCAAGGACCTAGAAATAAGGAAAACCATGATATCCAGACTGTCCAAAGTGATAAGTATATTACTAATTTTACAAGGAAGAGTTCTCAGGTATCTGTGCACACAGCAGATCAACAACAAAGCTTTCATAATTGCATACTATAAGCACAAGGGTTTGTTTTCCATTGCTTTAAACATCTCTGAAAAATCAAAATATTTCTGAAAATAGTTGCAGTGCATAGTTGGCAAAAAAAAATGGTTGAAAGGTTGAGATGTGAAAAGAATCCTACTTATACACATACACACTTTTGGTCTACAGCATATCAAAAAAAAATAGAGAGCAACCTTTAGATTCCACACAATGCAGAAGCATCATGAAATTCATTGCTTAATAAAGAAATAAGAAAGCAGATAAACTGGTTACTTGTATTTTAATATACCTTAAATACACAAATTTAATTTTTGTTATAAAGATGTTATATTTATTATATCTTTATGTTTCTCAGAATATCATACAGTCTATGGCACTGTGTATTTTAATATACCTTAAATACACAAATGGCACTGTATTTTTTGAAGTAAAATTAACTTTAGGCATGAGAATACAAGACATTATCTCTCAATTTAGTAGTCTACTCACAAAAAGAAAAATAAGATGCTTCAAAGGACTGTCTAAAACTCTGTTGCAAGAATTACTCATCAGCAGAGTAAAATTCCTTCTCACCCATAGAGTTACCTAATGGTTAACTTCAGAAGCATACAGATTAATAAATGTGGATGCCTTCATTACTCACACATCTAATCCTCTTCTCAGTCTCAAAAGTCTATAAGCTTTTGACCTCAATTATATCCTGCATAAAGATCTTTGCAGGGCATATATGTAATGTAAAATAATACTCTTGTCAGTGTTTCAAATTTAATTTATAAAATGTGATTACCAGGAATAACAACAGTATGCTCTTTGTACGTTACCTGATATGCTTGGTATTCCACTCATTATTCTGAATACCTTTTAGCAAAGTGTCATTGCAGGTGGCTTTGCAATCACCACCTTTCTTTAAGGTCAGCAAAACCCAATTCGACTCCTTTAAAAAGCAATGGCAGCACCTCCACAGCCAGCTACAACCAGGCTCAGGACTGAGGCAGGCAGACAGGACGGTGAAAATGGATTACGAGACCTCCCCATAGCGAGGACACAAAGAACACACACTATTCACTGGGGGACCACAACTGTTTGATCATTCCTTCTCTTTATTAATTCTAATCTCACCTCCAAGCTGAACAAAGGTAAACGTTCGGAGTTATATGAGTAGAAAAATTATGCTGGATCCTGTCTGAGTAAAGACGCAAGGCAGAGAAGGAAGAATGCAGTATAAAACATGCAAGAAGATACTAACACAGTTTGAATAAGCACAGAAAAAAAGACACAGAGAGCTTTTGGATACAGAGCTGACTTAGAGCTGTAAGACAAGTAACTTCCTTGTGAAGCACTTTTTCATACCATTTTTTCGTAAGTAAAGATTAGTCATGTATTTTTGATAAGGTCCATCACTGATTTTTCTTCATAAATAAACAAAATAATAATAATAAAGTACACAAACAAGACAGTTTAGGTATTAGAGGGAAAATGTTTTTAAGAATTAATATGTAGGCAACATACACCCACAAGAGCCATAAGCTGTACTGGTTTATTTTTGAAAAAATCATATAATGCCTTCACTGTAGATTTTATAAACTCAGCATTAGCAGCAGAACACTGCTTTCAAATGGCAACACCCCACGAGTACAAACCAAAGGCACTAAGTGGACTTTATCATTAGGGATTGTAAGTGGCAGCAATCAAATGAGTCACCTAATAAGGGTCATAAAACCATTGAAAGAAGTCACTGGAATATATAGGAATGGAAGCAGAGGAAGAATAACTGTTCCTTTGAGGAAGTCTTCAGCCACTCTAGAAAGACAGGAAAATAGGATCAGAGTAAAACTGTAGAGAATGAAAGCAAGCATCTCAGGATCACAGAACACCAGCACTCTCTCTGAGTACCAGACTCAGAAAGACATATTGAATGGTGAGAGAAATACAGTGTTTTCCATGCAGAAAAGTTTCTGCAGAACCTCATGTTTTTTTCTTGTAGGTAAAGTACAAATGATTTAGAAATTCATTTGCAAAACTTTTTTTTTGTTTTACTTTCACACAATGTTCTTAAACTGGAAAAAATAAAACAAACAAACAATATTGTGTAGGCCTCTTGGTGAACTCAAGTTGTGCAGTAACCTGGAATAAAGAAAGCCACCTCCTCCTGGTTTAAGGACTTAGCCTACTCTTCATACCTCAGAATAGGATGCTGGATGGAAAAACTGACCTCTAAGAAATGGAAAGGGACTTTATAGCCTAACAGTCTGCTGAACAGCAATGTTTTGTGTGGGAAAATGCATAAAAACTAGAAAAGCAAAAATTCTGTTCTTATACAGTTTCCCACATTGGGATATACTTCATAACTCCAAGAAAGGAATTATGTACCTGAGTAATTAACTGTAGATCTGCTGCTGCATTAACATAGACCATCTAGCCCAATCAACTGGCTATACTATACTAAGTGCTGCACTAAGGGATTTTTTGTTTGTTTGGGATAGAGATTATAAAAATTTATTACCCTGCTGGCCTGTAAACATATACTGCTTATGAAAGTATTTTTAGCCATATGTGGTAGCAAAGAATTTTCACATGAATAAAATATACAAGGAAATTTTCTGTGTAGTTCCATAATATCTATAGAAACAACGAAATGTCAATTTTAGGAAAAATAAAAGTGCAAAACAGTTTTGCATTTAATAATGTAATAATCTTGCAAGTCAAAGAAAAATAAATGTATCTGTTTTGAAATATGAAAGCTGCATGATTTTGAAACAAACCTTGTCCATTAGTTTACTTGCATGAAGACTCAGACTGTTAAAGAATATCTTCTTGCTCAGCAAATGCATTTCTTCAATTGTTGTTAGCAGTGTGGCTGCATTGTTTCCTACAATACCACTGAAATCAAAATTAAGATTATTTCATTAATATAGAGCCACAGGACAGAGTCAGATACTTTAGACAGAGTTTCAAATACAATTTGTTCAAAATTGAAAATGTACATCATCATCATATGGAACTGTTCTCCATAGTGGTCCTCAGAGAGATTAATTCATAATTAAGATGACAGAGAGAACAAACATTATCAACTATGTCACAAAACAACCAGATATTACTTTTAAGTACAGTCTATCTAGAGCTTAAAACAAACTTTTTGATATAATATATAACTTTCAAATATTTAGTGTTTTTTCTGTTGTTCCTCTGTACCTCTACTTTTGCTATAGTAAATTTAGATTATTTAAACAAAAGAGCTGATAAATTTATTCTATCTTACTGTCCTCTAGAGACACACACCTCCTAGTGATATCAGGCATTTCCATAAACACAAGAATTTATGCTTTATTATTCCTATTGTATTTAGCACCAATACTTCATAAACCTTAAACCACATGACAAGGTTATTCACTTTTCTTGGATCTACCTTGTCTAAAGGAAAAGTGATTCTAAGCTTCAAATAATGACAGGTAAATAAAAAATTGTTTTCTGTGGCCACTTCATGTTATATTCCAGAGTAGAGGTCGTATGAATTAAGGAATGTCAACTGAAAAATGATATCTGCTTAATATCATGCACACTTCTCCTGGATTCTATATTACAGAGCATAAACTAAAGCAATAAAGAAGCGTTTTAAACTGTATTAGTCTTTATATCTATTAGTAAAAAAAAAAGACCTCCTTAACATATTTTTAAATTTGGCATACCTGATTGTATGGTGGTAGAACTTGAGAAGATTAGAAATCTTGTACAGTAAAACTGCTCCTGGTTCAGCAACAATCACCTGCTCAATCCTAACCTGCAGAATGAATGAATGAATAAATAAATAAATAAAACCTTCAGGTCATACATTCTAAAAGCCAACCTCTATGATTTTATACAAGGTTGATATGTGAGAAATAAATTTAACCAGAAATAAATTTATCAGTTCACAATGTCCAGCCAAATTGCAACATTCTTCTGAACCAGATCTTTTTGCTGCCAAGCACCCAAACAAAAACAAGCAGGCGTATTAAAAAAATAATAATAAACCACATCTCCCTACAAGTTTTTGTTGCAACTTATTATGGAAAATTTCAAAATAATGAGATCATTTAATGGATTAACATCAGCACACAAGGGACTCCTCCCCATCACTGGACAGCTGGAATAGCTGCAAAATCCCTGAACTACAGCAGTTGATCATTAGTATCATGCAACAATCCAGGACATCCCAAGTAGCAAGTATTTGGTCCAACAGACAAAGCTTCCCCTGGTTTAGTCTCTTCTTTTCTCAAGGGAGCTGTTACTTAACTGCTACTAGTTTGTAAGTAGATATATACATAATTAAGTTGTAGCTACACTGACCACGTAGCTCAGCCAGGAGATGCTGGATACGCAGACCAAAACAACACTGACTTTCTCTGTATTTGGACAGCTGATGTGTTGTCTCCAGGGTAAGTGCAGTCTCAACCAACACATAAAAGGCTGCCCCAAGGTCAGTCACTGGGCACTCCTGAAGCAGGGGGAGCCCCTGACTTATTCCTGCACTATTCCTGTACTGGCCCGTGTGTGAAAGGGCAACACACGGAGCACCAGCCATCGGCTCCTGTCCCCCGTCACTCATCCACTGTCAGTGGATGGCAGGCAGGGAAAAGGGGGGGAAAGGCAGGGAAAGGGGGGGAAACTAAAAGGAAGGCAGGGAAAGGGGGGGGAAACTAAAATATTTACCAAAAAAGGAGCAATA